CCCCCCCCCAACAAATACCTGTTGTGGTGCTAATATTCGGCAGAAAATAGGCTGTTTAGAGATAAACAAGTCCCGCACAAGCTTTCTGCTGGTCATTTGGAGCCCTTTGCCCTTTTTTTTTTTTTGAACAAAAAATACAACTTTTCTTCTTCTTGCGTCTTAACCAACGAAGGTCTGTAGTAAGCTCTGTCTTCTTTTCCTGCCCTAATAGGAGAATAGGGGTTTGGGCCGCACGATAAGCACCAAAAAGAAACCACGATTTATTATATTTTTTTTGAAAAAAATAATTATATACTCCTCCATTTTAATTTACCTGTCATTGTTGGACCTAACATGCAATTTAAGAAAGAAATAAAAATTATTCAAAATTTCTAGTATTACATATATCAATATATCATAATATTTGAATGGCTATAAAACTTTTTATTGATAATAAGATAATTGTTTAATGTTAAACTATTTTTAGTAAAAATATTACTGCTTTTTTTTAAAAGAATAAAACTAGTGTATTAGTTGAGGGTCAGGGAGTATAATTTCATGAGAAAATTTTAACAAATCGCATTTCAATGGATAAATTAGAGTAATTTCAGATATGACTATTGTTTAGTGGCTATTTACTTGCTATCATATACATAATTACTTTCCGTGGCTACCTTTTAGTTGTTATGGTAATGTATTCGAGCTACTGTCATGAATACAGTAGCAAAAATCGGTTAAAAAATAGGGCAGTCCAGTTGTCAGCCACGTATTCACGTGTATTCATACCATATATTCATGAATACAACGTCATAATAGGTCTCTCTAGTAGTTTAATAACAGAAAGCTGCTAATTTAATGGGATACACTCCTAATATAACTCACCTAAATCAATTATAACCCACAACATTATCAATCCAATTAATGAGAAGATTTATCAGACACTAAATATCAAAAAAAAAAAACAGAGCATTCTTCCGAGTTTCGGTTCCTCTTTTTTTTCTGATATTGTTCGAGTTTTTTTTCCTAACATTGTTCGAGGTTCATAATAAACCTAGTGTTTTTGTTCGATTTTCTGTATATGAATACATCATAAATTTATGCCCGATACAACCTGAAATAGTAACATACTGCCTGCATATTTCATAATAAACCTAGTGTTTGTATTTTGTTGTATCTAACAGTTGTGTTCAATGTATTCAAGTTTATTTGTGGATTCACAATATTTTATTTATTCCTAATACATAGTATTACTACTTTATTGAGTATATTTCACTGGTTGTATTCATTATTTTTCTATTTGTATTGAGAGTATTTTATTGATTACACTGTATTGTTATTTTAAATATAGATGGATACAATTAGGTTGAAAATACAGATGAATACAGTTAGATTGAATGCATAACTAATTGAAGAATAACATCAAAATGATAGAACTAACAATGTATTTAAAAATATTGTTGTATGAACTCAAATACATATAAATGCATCTAAATACAACAGTCAAAAATCACGATACCAAATAAAAGAAAAATTGTATGCCTTATCGAATACATATAAATACAAGAAGAGAAAACCACTGTACAACTAAAAATCAATGTATTCGAACTAGAATACATATAAATACATCTACAATTAGGGTCGGTGTGTATTTTTGTTCTCCTCTCGACTTCAATGGTTGCTGATGAACCTGCAAATACAGGTTCATCTTGAGCGATTTGCAAATCGAAAGATGGCCCTTCAAAATTGATTGCTTTAGTGGGTATTCTGCGGAAAACCTAACAAAGCTTTTATAATATCGAAAGATGGCCCTTCGAAATTGAGTGTTGTAGAGGGTATTTTGCAGAATTAACAATGGTGAATATTTTTAAAAAAATGTAGAAGAGAAAAAGAAAAGCTTTAACCGGTCAAAAACCCAAAAATTTTAACACTTACCACAACTATTTTGGAGAAAAAAAATTGAAAATTGAGAGAGACAATGGCGCTGATAAAGGAGAGAGCTGGGGAGAGAAATTTGGAGCAAAAAATATTGAAAACGGCCATGGCAACTGCTAAGCCTCCATGTCGCTTAGAGAGAGGAGAGAGATCATGGAGAGAGAAATAAGATATTATGCGGTGATTTTGAGAGAGAATAAACTGAAAGAACGAGAGTGAAAAAATTTTTAGACATCATATTTAATGACTTAATGGTAGGAAGTGATCATAAGTACATATTTTGCTATAAAATCTAAAAAATAGCTATAAAAAATAATAATTTAAAAGAATTTTTATTTATAATAAAAAAGTGTAAAGCTTTGATATAAGAGGTAAAATATCCTAAATTATTCCTCCTATTTCGATATTCGAACGTCGGCTTTCCTAAGGGGAATTTTTGTATTATACTATAATTTTGTGAACTTCATTTTACCTTTTATAACATTAGAATAAACTACACTATCACTATGGCATTATACGCAGTTGGTTTTACAATAGGAGATTCACCCTTGTATTGTGTATGATTCTAATATATAGGTGATAAAGCATTAAGTGATATTGAAAATTTTGAGTTATCCACAATCCGATTATAGTATAAAGGATGTTTAAAATAATTTTGTATACGGCGAAATCGGAGGATCCATTTCTCGTCATTAAGGCATTTCAGAAGATCATCTGCAAGGCTGTGGTCGAGTTTCCTCCCTCGATGTTCGTCGATGCTCGACCCGAGGACAATGTTGGTCTCGGTCATGATGGGAATGGGGAGTTCCCTAGGTATGCAGCTAGTATTGGCAAAACCCAGTGTCATCTAGTTGTCTCATCCCCCTATCTTTGTAATTAATGCTTGTTGTACTATGATGAGATTCTCCTTCTATATAAAGGGTGTCTTTGTCACTTTGTAGGGTTTGTTGCTCCAATTACTCCACACGAAATATACAAAGACATTCTCTTTGTTCTCTAATATACTCCCTTGATATTATTGCCTTTAGTTATTATCTTCATATATGTTCTTCATTTATTGCTTGTCATTGGCCATAAAGAGCCTTCGTTGATTATCTTATAACTGTTAGCCCTACCCCGATTACCCTCAATAGCTCGTAGCCGAGCCCCGAGATAGACCTCGAGGCCCAGAATCGACAAGCTTGAGGCCCCGAATAACTCGCCTATCGGTTTGATTATAGCTCTCTCCTTAACTTTATTTGGTCTCTAAGTCTCACATATCTATCATCAACTACTTAACAACTAGCATAAAATAGATCACGTATTTTTAGAGTCTCATCGATAAATTTAATTTTATTACCATTTTCACGGTAAACAGTTTGACGCCCACCGTAGGGCTAAAATAATAGTGATTATTTTCTTGTTGGTTTCATTACATAACGCAAGTTATCCTTCACGTTTTTTCTTGCCCAAGATCTTCGATTTCAGATTAAAATGTCTAGCTCGGAAAATAGAGTTGAAAACGACAATCTTGAAAACCACGGAGAGAACGGTGTGGCTGCTCCAAATGTTGATGTGCCACTATGAAACCTCGAGAACACGCCAAGACCAATTCCAATGGACATAGGTTCACGCGACGCCCAGCAGGTCGATATAAGCTCACACACCAACAGGAGCGTGCACTAAAGAGACCCACAAGAAACTCAGAAAATCCCAACTAGGGAAGAACGGGAGGTTAGCCTTCATGTTATTTTTGAAATGTTGTAGGCACAACAACTGGCTATCGCTCAGCTGCAAAGTCACCAGAAAACCCCTAGCACGGTAGCACCGGGGACCGCTCTCCCGGCCGAACAAGTGTCGGAGAGATCGAGCAATAACGGGTCGATAGCCGATCCTGTCATCATGAAGATGCTCGAGGACCTCACCAGAAGGATCGAATCAGGCGATAAAATGATAGAAGCCAACGACAAGAAGGTCGAGACCTACAACTCCAGGGTCGACCAAATTTCGGGTGCTCCCCCGGTTCTAAAAGATGTGGATTCGAAGAAGTTCATACAAAGGTCGTTCCCAGATGAAGCGGCCCTGAAACCTATTCCAAAGAAGTTCAGAATGCCAGAACTCCCAAAATACAATGGGACCTCAGACCCCAATGAGCACGTTACTGCTTACACTTGCATAGTGAAGGGCAACGACATAAAGGACGATGAGATCGAGTCTGTCTTACTAAAGAAGTTCGGGGAAATGCTCTCAAAGGGGGTCATGATGTGGTATCACAACCTAGCTCCTAACTCCATAGACTTATTTTCCGTGTTGGCACATGCCAATATCATCAAAGTAGCAACGTGTTCAAGATCAAGCAGAGGGAGAACGAAATGCTTCAAGAGTTTGTATCTCGCTTCTAAGTGGAACGAATGGAACTACCTCCGGTCTTCGATGACTGGGTAGTGCAAGCCTTCACTCAAGGGCTAAATGAATGAAGCTCGGTGGCTTCCAAGTAGTTGAAATAGAATTTGGTCGAATATCCCGTCGTGATATGGTCGGACGTCCACAACCGATATCAGTCAAAAATCAGGGTCAAGGATGACCAACTGGGAGCCCCCTCGGGTTCAGTATATCCAAGTAGGCTCTTGGCGAAGGAGTCAAAGCCAAACAAAGAAAGATATCAACCATACACCGAAGATAGAAGGAACGCCCCAAGGCACAACCCACCTCGTAATGATTGAAGGATAGACCGATGACAGAATCCTCGCGGACTCATCAACAGACCCAGGTTCGACAGGGACGCAGGACCAACCGAGGCACCTCGCTTATCAGAATACAACTTCAACATTGATATGTCAGACATCGTGTTCACCATCAGAAAAATTAGAGACGCCAGGTGGCCCAGACCTATACAATCGGATCCTTCACAAAGTAACTACAATTTAGTATGCGAATATCACAACACGCACGGACACAGGACCGAAGATTACCGGAAACTCTGGGAGGAAGTGGCTCGGTTACTCAACAACAGTCATCTTTGGGAATTCCTCAGCGATCGAGCCAAAAATCGGTCTCGAGAAAGGGAAACAATAAAAAAAGATAAGGCAGACGAGCCGCAACATGTCATTCATATGATCTTTAAGGCAGCAACCACGAGATACGCCCTCGGCCGTATCCGAATAAAGAACTGTACCGCGTCCTCCAAACGAATATCAAGGATCAAAAGTGCCATCGCCACCGAGGTATAACCATCTCCCTTCTTATTTTATATTTCATACTAACCCTCATGCAGGCGCCCGATCGAAGTAGTCAAAGCGCTAACCCAGCCCGAAGACCTTAAGGTTTTAAAGCATTCATTGCACTCT